GTTTTCTAAAAATCCAAATCACTTGAAATTTTAGACGTGTGTTTTTCTCATCAAGCCGCACCTAATAAAAATATAAAAAAAAATTAATTCGGGAAACATATTTTGACCAAAATACCCCCAAAAATTTTCGGGGGTAATTTGGTAAATTTATTTCATGTAAAATATTTTTTGATAGTTTTCGAAGATTGACCTATTTTTGATGTACACACACTCCAAATTTCAAGTGATTTGGATTTATAGTAAAAAAATTAAAATTCAAACACTACCAAACATCGGTGATCGTCAGATCGGCCCAGATTCAATCTGGCCGTTGGGCTCATTTTTTCCTGTGAGCTAGTGGGCTCACCCTAGCATCTTCCACATGTATATATATATATATATATATAGGAATAGGAAAAGGATGCGGTCAGCAGGCTCGCGTACCAGCCCTTGTTTGTCGACAGTCGCGATTAAAACAAGGAAACACTAACCGCTAGTAAAAAAATTGGCCTAAAACAGAACATCCCAAGTCCTTTCTCTCTCTCTCCTCTCTACACTTCCCGCCTCCGCCTCTGTCTAACACTCATGTCAACAGCGATCTCCATCTCTCTATCTGTCTCTATCTGATCTTGCGCTCACACCACCCCAGCTTCCAACCCACACCTACAAGCTTCCCCCTCTCTCTATATCACATCACACAGAAATACAGACAAGCTCTTCACCCCCAAAGATAGCACAAAATACCTCAACGAATATTTAACACAAACAGCCAAAATATTTCAACGAATTAGAGTAGAAAACCCCTTACATGGTACCTGTGTCAACAAATTTAAATGAATTCACAAATCTAGTTCTGTGTCAAGATAGCAAATTGGACCTCCATTTATCAGAATAGAAATGCTTCCAAACAACACAAGGCCTGTGCAATTACCCAAAAAACACCAGGCATGTGCCACTTTGAACTCATCCACTGTGAAATCATTAAATTAGAATAAATAAATAAATAATTATGGATTCACAATTAAAAATGCTCAGGTATCAACCCAACTCAGCATTAATATGAATTTTATAAGATCCAAGTAAAGCCCCCTATACAGTTAAATCAATCTATGTAGGCACATTTTCTAGGAACCCTTTGGCTTCTGCCCATTCTCTCTAACATTCATGTTTTCTATGAACCGTTTGCTGATGCTTTCTTGGGCCTTCATTATAGACAGTGAGGGATGGCAGAGGAGAAGAGCATGGGGTGAGTTTGGGGTTGTAAGAGGTTCCTTTGAGAGAGGAGAAGGGTTGAGATAGAGGAGTGAAAGAGAGAGGAGATGGGGCAGGAATTAGGGGGTGGGAGCACGTAGCAGGAAGGCAGAGAGGAAGAGACGCGGTGCTAGGGATGAAGGTGGGAAGAGTAGATAGAGAAACGACGCGTTATTTCTGCCCAATTTATAAGCCCTTAATCTTTACCTGTTTTAATCGCAACCGTTGGCATACAAGGGGCTGGTACNCGAGCCTGCTGAGCACATCCTA